CTCTCTCTCTCTCTCTCTCTCTCTCTCTCATGCGTATTTAGAAGCTAATTAAAATATCTCTTTAGTTAAAGTATCTTAATATTACGATGCTAGTGTATACTTATAGCGCGTGGACACGAGAGGCACGGAGCTAACAGTGCCGACTGAAAATCGAAGAGTAACATATTCGTGCCAGTCGCGGTAATACATAGCCGCAATCTACTGAACTTTTATTTCGCGGGATACGCCGCCGTTCCTATCATCGATACTGGACACCGTCCACGGCATGTTGCGAGAGCAAGACGCGCGAGGGGGATTGGGAATTAGTCACGACTCCGGGCACGTCTGCAACGGCATTAAAAGACTGCTGTTACAAAGATGCAACTGTGTGCAATTACTCGCGTTCGCGTGCGGCACGTAGCATTTTGCAAATTGCAGACGCAGCCGGTCCGCCGATCGGTGCACCATCGCTAACGTCACGGATGTGTGACTCATTGCCTGTCGCTAACAAATAGACAGTACGGTCGATAGCGTTTAAGCAAATATAACGGTCGTACGATCAGGCTTAAGCAGACAAGAGGAATGGCGATACGGATTATAGTTTCATATCCAATTTTAAAACGCGGTATTGCGCAAAAAAATTGTATAAATTGTAAAAGGCAGCTAAAAATTACGAGAACTGCGAGTATATTATCGCTGTTTTGCAGATCACAAGCGCAACATCAACAAATTATGTTTGATGACGCATCAGGAAATGCAAATGGCAATACTGAAAATCCCTCTTGCATATCTCCCTTGCGTTCCCGTTGAAACCCGTCAGAAATTTCTACGCTAACTTCGCTAACTTTTGCGCTCTACATCGGTATACCAATCTCGGCGATGGCACTAACACGGTCAAAATGTATATAAATACTGAAGTGCTTCCAAACATATCTAACAATATGCCGCTGCTCGCCGGACTCGCGTGCACCGCGAGCAGCTCGGCCGCGAGGGAAGCGACGTCCGAGAGACCGCAAAAATCGTCCGGTTCAAGTGTGACTCATCACACTCGAGAGATCCCAGCGAGCGTGTTTCCGCGAGCACCGGTATTTCTGGCTGGTGGCGTATTTGTGTTACACGGCGTTGTATCAATGCGTAAAAACTGCAACTGGAGCGACGTCGTAGTTGCCGGAGAACGGGATATCGGAGATACGTGATTCATATCATGTTCAAGTCGTGCAGCCGCCTTAGGTGCGTAGGAACCGTTTTCTCTCGACAGACGAACAAATCGATTGGATCCAGTTGAATCCGTGACGACTTCGTTTCTGCAAAACAAAAAAAAAAGAGACACTTGTCTTACAATCTTAGTCTCCATGCCGCAGCTTTGCTGGCTCACGTTGTAATATAAGAAACGAATATACTTACAGCATGTCCGTTTTGTTTTTAAGATCTTTCCTCCATTCTTGCAGGCGCCGAGTCTGCAATGACGCAAATTTCCTTCTGACGCAAGATACTTTCGCGCAGACATCAATGAAAGGAACTGCAAATGAGCATTTCAAAATTAGATATGACGCATGATTTGATGCCACAATATAAGATATTGAGAGTAGTCGATATCTGGCTAAATATTGCCAATTATCGGTACGTTCTGATAAAATTAATTACTCGTGTGCATCCCGACAGTTGCTCGTCCTGTTCTCCGTAACGTCAGGCATTTGTCTATTGTTCGTCGGCCAGGGACTTTGGGGATCGGTGAACTGTAGACTTGCGGGCATGCTGGCGATCGGTCGATGAGTAACCATGGGAGACCAAGGCCGTGCTTTCCAACTCGATAGACCTCGCCGACATCAAGCTCTCTTGTACGCGAGAACACGCCGTTTTCTATGACGCGTTTTACATATTTCGTAGGGACACAATGACGCTCGACAACCGAAAGTAACTTAGCGATCTGTCGGTCCTTGCTAGATAATAAAACATTCAAACTTTATCCCGTAACATATTCATTGCGAAAGCGTGACATAAGAGAGGCTTTGGTGCTACCTGCAACGTCATTTCGATTTTATAAATATTTGACGTTGGTTGCAGCCCGAGACAGTAATTGAACCATAATGCGCTTGTTGTCACAATGATACTTTATCGTCAGAGCCAGACTGCATCTGCGTTAATCACGCCTTATCTTATCTTATCGTTATCGATCATCATTTCAAACAGGAAATATTTAATCGTGATTGTAACACGATATACGCTGATCCAGTTCGCGATTACAGTATTGCGAACACAATCAACAGTACTGAAAACCAACCACCGGTGTCGGGGAGGGAAAAAGTTTCAGAACTTAGTTGAAAAACGGCAAAGCGAAGGAAAATTACGTATTATCTATTGTATGCACTGTTGTGAGATCGCGTTACACTCCGTAATACGATTGCGCAAACGTCGCTTTTCAGCATCGCGATTAATTACCAAGGATTGCTTCACTTAATAAATAAAGCTAATTAACGCTAACGCTTCATTTAGAATCCGCCCGTGTTGTCCGATTGTTACGTCTTATTACCGGCCGCGGAGCGCGTTATCGGGCATCAGGTTGAGAAACTCCACGTGGGAACAAAGCGATTCACGTGTGCGTGGCCAACGCTTGCCGTGTATGTGCCCGCAACGAAGCCAATTCTCGTGTCGGGTTCTTTTGTTACGCACAAAAGCACCGTGTTCGCACCTTCCTCGGCGGAGATTTTTCCAGATGATCTTACATGCCAAAAATAAATACTTCAATGTTTCTTCTCTCATTTCTCATTTCCCTTTCTCTCTCTTTCTCTCTCTCTTAATTCCGAACTTGTTCATATTTGCGACCTCCATCTTTATCCTCGCTTTAATCCGCGATAATTCAAAAAAGAAACGCTGTGGCGATATACTTTTTTCTATCTTAATCTTGGAAAGCGCTTGGTCTTTAAAGAAAAGGAAAGTGAGGTAGTTGGCTAAACGGTCAAATTGTGCGTCTAATTGTATGTTAATAAATTTGCGAGCGCCTTTCACCGAGTTCTCAAACCTTATCTATGTGCACCATCTTGATCTCGTTGTGCGTAGGTATGGACGTCGAGAAACATAATTTATGTGCATTGACTCACGCCGCGGGTTTCTTTTTCCCTCTCTGTTCGCCGAATAACGTTTGCGCGCAATATGAGATGCCGGCTTCGTGAAAGGAGTAAGACCAGCGGGGTTTTGCGCCAGCATCTTGAATGTTAAAAACACCGCTATGAAGCGGAGGTCGCGGGGACTCGCGTCGTTCGAGTCGGCGCGGGCGTGAAATTATTAATCGAAATAAATCAATCGACATCGTCAATCGCCGATCACTCCGAAACCTTTTTCTTTCTGCAGAGTTTGGAGCAGGAGAGGCACCTGCTGCGAAGGAGACTCGAGGAAGCCAGGGATGAGAGCGAGGCGAGGGCCTTGGAGCTCCAAGCTGATGTGGAGACTCTCAGGAGTCAGTTGGAGGAGCAAAGTGAGAGAGCGAGAAGGGCGGAACGCGACCAAGCCACCCTCGTGGCCGAGTTGACGGCGCAGAACACGAGGCTGGCCGATCAGCTGAGGGAGGCTGCCAAGCAGGAAGAGCAGTTGCTCGTGGAGGTGAAAGTGCTGAGGGAGAAATGCGCTCTCAGGAACACCACCCTGCAGGATCACGTCAGCAGTCTGGAGATTCTCAGGGATGAGGTAAACGAATTTTTATCTTGATTGTCGTACATCGTCCAAGTGCGCGCATAATCAACTTCTCTATGCACATAAAAAGCGTGATTTTTTTCCCTCCACTCGTTAATGCTACGAATTTCTCGTCGGATTTCCCTCTCGTCTAATTGATCCGCGCGTAGAACGGAAACTGTCGTTATTAATCATTATCCATCGGAAGCTGAGCGCGGTTCTCAGGCGGGGCTCGCTGAATAATTCGCAGCATCCTTTTTGTAAAAAGGAAGCGGTAATCGTCTCGCTCGTGTTCGCATGTGAATTTATGCATACAATCTCTGGGAAAATGCTATTATCGAATAAAAATGAACGTGACCCTCGACTCGATTTGCTTCGCCCTTTCGTCTTACTTTACAGTGGCAATCGGGTGTCGAGAGAGTCTCAGGAATCGTTCGTGAACATAGAAAGCTTATCGAAACAGACGCGTACAAAAACTAATCAGTGTAAATGTAAGATACATTTCGCGAGCTGCGATGATTATATTTTAACATCGCACTTAATATTTTTAATCTTCGACGGGTTTGACATGAGAATTGAAACAAAATGAAACAAAGAAATGAACCGTGGCACGAGAAATCGTAGTCGGTATATCACGCACGTCATAAATCTTACTCGCGTCGTTTCAGGTACAACTGGTATCCGCACAAAGGACGGAGCTAGAGAGGCGGTCCTTGGAGCTGCGTGAGGAGAGGGCCAGGGCGATGGCGGCCCTCGAAGAAGCCGAGGAGAGAGCCGCGGCCTTGGAACGGCTCGGCCACGAAGCGGAACACCGTGCGAGAATGGCCGAGCAGGAGAGGTGAGACCAGAATCCGTGATCGGTACACGTGGCCAATACGGCTCGATTAACACGCTGGGACAACGTACGATTGAACTCGATCCACCCGCGGTTAAACCTTTTCGAATTCCACGAGATTCCTAAAATCCGCCCCTCACGTGACGGTCGCATCTTTATCGAGCAAATGCGGTATGTCAAGCGGACAATACCATTCGTCGTATCTGTTCGACATTATTTTCTGCAGCACCTACTTTGTATCCACGCCTGCATTACGGGTATTAAAACATGCCGGCCATATATATTGACATATATTTATTACGTTCAGGGACGAGCTGGCGTCGGCATTAGCGGCTATCGAGACGGAAAGGAGAACCCGATCCGGCTCGATACAGAAACCACCGCGGTCTCTGCATGCGGAGATGGAGTGCGAGGAGAGCAGCTCGCTTGGGGAGCAAGAAGACGGAGGTCTGAGGACGGAAGTGGCGAGGGCGACCAAGCGGCTGAGAGAGTTATGCGCCCATTTGAGACGCGGCGAGGACGACTCGGGTCTGCAAAGCGACTGCGACGAGTCTATGCTGGTGATCAATCTCAACAATTCCGAGGCGGAAGTGAGCACCAACGAGCGGGAGACTCATCCTTCGCCGGTAAGCAATCCCCTTTACAGATCATTTAATTTTTATTACAGGTATATAATGTTTTAGGTATCTAGTCGAACAGGCGCCTATACACAATATAGTTAGTATTTATCGCTGTAATAATTTTCCTCGCAGACGAATTGCCCGGGTGCGCTGGTGGAGTTGGTCGAGGAGGTCTACAACCTCGCGCTGTCGGGGAGAGGGGCACCAGGAGAATTGGGATTGGCGGTGGAGCTCCACAGGGTGCGGGAGGAACTGGAGAACTCTCGGGAGCAGTGCAGGATACAGGAAGAGGAACTGAAGCGACGCGGCGACACCGTTCTGGAGCTGACGAGCAAGTTGAGCGTCGGCGAGGCTGAATTGCGTGGCGTCAGGGAGGAACGTGACAGGGCGAGGTGCGACATCGAGCACTCCGAACTGACGAAGGACGAGATCGTGGCGAAGGCTTACAAGGTGCGGGATCAGGCGGTGGCCCGGCAGAACAGGGTAGAAGTGGAGCTGGCCAGGACGCGGATAGACATCCTGCAGGCGGACAGTCAGTTGAAGGAGGCGATCAAGCAGAAGGTCGAGCTCAGCCAGCAGCTAGAACAGTGGCAGATGGACATGCAGGCGCTTTTAGACGAGCACGTGCGGAGCAAATTGACCCCGGCCTCGCAGATGGTCGCCACGAAGAACGGCGAGAACGCGGATATGTCGGCGCCGGCCAGGAAGAAGAGGAGCACCAGTTCGACAAAGAAGATGTTCGGCCTATTTTGACGAAAGTGACGCAGCGCAGTGACGTCGCTGCGTTGAGCCGAGCAATCGCGACTGACGTAGATCTAGACTTTTGACTTCTGTACAGCCATTTCGCATAAAGGGAACGTGGTTCCCTAACGGGTCGAAGAGACGATAGCGTGACTTAAGATATATCTAAGGACCGTTCAATAGTACTCGGCCCAGTGGTGACAGCGTTCCAGAAACTTTGTGCTCTGCCGAACTCATTCCAAGTGATGTCATTTGCATCATTCATATTGCGATGCAGAGACAAGCATCTGGACTAGTCTGAAAACTAGCGACTTTGTATTATTAAAATTAGCAGCTCGAACCAGACTGGACTCGTCTGGACTCGTGCAAATTTCGGGACCTGGCATTCTCGGTATGAATGCATTGAGATATCTCGGTGCACAACGCGTGCGAGAAACGTTGCTCACGGCGGGAGGCCTGTTACATCGGTGCTGACGCTCGTGTCGAAACCGTAATTTAAGTGGCGTCGTTCGCAGAAACAGGGACGTCCGACTTTCTACGATTCCTCGACCAGGGAAAGTCGTGGACCGTTTTTCCCGAAACGTTCTCGCGCGACTTGACATGCGTTCAGTATTGTCGTCATCGTATTTTTCATCTTCGTCTCGATACGCGTGTTTTCTGTCGACCGTTTCTTATCAAGTGGCTCGGTGTAATCCGGCGGACTGTTTCATTATCGTTCACTTGAGTTCGTAGACTGTTGATGCGAAAATAGTAACGGCATAAAATGACGTTGTGACGCCGATCGCTAATAGAATCAGCGAGGACAAGTCCGTCTTATCGGAAAAAAGAAAGTCGTCGTTAAAAAATGTTTCCTCCCCGCGAAATTAACGTTCCGTGGCAAATGACGTCTTTTCTCTTCGATAGATAAATTTTCGATACGTCTAACTGACGTTTCTAGCTCAGGGAAACTTTTCGCGGACGTCCTTCTAATTTTGCTCTTTCATCGCGTTCCTTCGCCCACGCTCGAAAGATCGGAGGAACCATTGGCTGCAATCGAAACGAGATTAACCGGACACGGTCTTTTGCTTCACGCGGGGAGGTACTAATCTTTCGAAAGGTGACAAGAGAACGCCAAAGGTTTAATGTCCCGGCAAGACTGATTACGATCGGCAGAGCGCAGCCGTTTTTTTCTCGCGCGCAAACGCGTCCCGTCATTCTCATCATCGTGGAACGAATCGTTCTCCACGGTAAGAACGATCTCCGAGTGGAAACTCCTTATTTCGAAACGATCTCGCGATCGGCTCGACAAATAATGAAACGGAGAGACACTCGAGCGCTCCTCGCTCCGTTTCATTCGCGACGCGGGGATATCGAATTCCTCTCGAGACGAAATATTGTGATACGCTGTGTCTTACGTTAGAATCGAAGGAGAACGTTGTGCGCCTTCCGAAGCGTCGCTTTTGTAATAAATTAACGATCCTATTAGAGAATGAGAAATTAAAAAAATTTTTTTTTAAATTTCATTAACGATTGTAAATCGCGAAAGATGGTTAGGTTACTTATTAAAAAAAAAACCGTGCATTTATTGTGCACGGAAATGCGTGTTCGAGGGTAGCCCCACGCACGAGCTTGGATGACTTTCACTATCGAATTACCCGACCACGCATAATTACTGTCCGTCCACCGTTCCGTCCGACAGGACCAAGGAATTATTCCCGATACAACGAGAAATAACGAGGGAGGGATGATCAAGCGTTTGGAGATGAAAGTCGATCGATCCAGCCGTGATCATTGATATTTTAACGCGACGATAGTGCAATATCACTGGAATATTTTTACGATATTAATCGAATCGATTGACTGCAACGGCGCTCCTTGAGGATCCTGCGTTTCGGGCTCTCGCAGACAATTGGTCCCGACGAGCAACGGCTGCGACGCGTTCGACGGCACGTGTGGTCCATTCATGTGTAGAGACACTGAACACGCGTGTGTACGTCGCACATAGTGAATCGTTTGTACATTAGTTTCCTTCTTCTCTTTTCTTTTCTTCGGGGCGAGCGTACCGATGAAACTGTATGATAATTGTGTATAATTCTCGATCTGATCAACTGCGATATTTATTGAATAAAAATCTGTTTTGCGAACGTCTTGCGTTTCTTATCAGCTCCTTCATTGTCGTCCGGCGGCCTACCTCGTTCTCCAGCAAGCTGGAAATAACGAGACACGTGAAAAGAAACAAATAGGCATTTATTCACAAGAGGCAGGTGTAGTTACAGTAGTTTCATTTCTGTCTTGCTTTCCGCATATATATCTGTATATATATATACGAAATATATATGTGCATATATATGTATAAATATATATACACATGTATATTTATAATAGTATCTTGTAACCGACCCGTAATCACCGATCGGTTCAACTACGCAATACAAATGGGCATGAACAATGGGGGCGGGTGCATACAAAGTGTTTGTCCTCTCGCACACGAAACGCGCCGTTTTTACTCCGTTTCTCCGCTTCCATGGTTTTTTTTTTTAAATTTTACTTTAAACGCAGCGAGATTCCACTTTATAAAATTCTGTGTATGCGCGCGCGTGTGTGTGTGTGTTCTCAGATAGAATCCCGCTGCACGTTTCACTCGCACGCCGCGACCCGCCGTGTCCCGATCCCGGCGAGTCGCTCTGAATCACGGACGTACTCAGAACGTCGGATGTTCTCGTCACGCTTCTCCCTAATTAAGTGCTTCTCGCGGCACCTTGGACGAGGATCGTTAAGGGGAGACCGCGGTTCCGGTTGCTCGCTACGGAAACCGCGTAATCGCACGCGGAGATGCAACACGCTGCCCAAGCGGGAGCCGATTTGCCGATATGATTATCGAGCCCCTTGTCCCCTAATTAATCGGCGGGCTAATCCTCCCAGAGACATACCGCATCGGCGACTCCCCCGGCCTCTCGCACGATTCTCTCCCCTTCCTCAAAGGTGTCGGTGTGTGGCAACAATATATAATATATAGTATGACAATATACGACGACGGCGGCTCTTAAAATTTGTCCCCTATAGTAACGCGACGATGACGTGATCATGACAACAATGTAATAACAATGAGGCTTTTAGCGGCGATAGCGTGAGTAATCATAGTGTAAATCGTTAATCAATTCGTAATAATGAGGCGACTCGTCGCGACGCGAGTCTCATCCAATGTAAAGCGCTTCCCATGTATCGAAACGAATACATAATAGAGCAATTAGTACAAAGGTGTAGAGAGAGGTACGTACTCTTCTCAAGGGTAGAGAGAGAGAGAGAGAGAGAGAGAGAGAGAGAGAGAGAGAGAGAGAGAGAGAGAGAGAGAGAAACACTATAATATCGATGAAGCAATCGTGTTTTCTTTTGTGCAGAACAACTTCTTTTATCAGTAGATTCGCATTTCTTCTTCGTTAAGGGTATTACATGTCACGGTAAATACAGTAAGGTTCGCTATGCTATGTCATTTATAAGTGGCTCTCGTCGTGTTTTACCACCTGAAACCCACCCCCTCCCCCTTCCACCCCTCCCCCCCAAGCTCCCCCAGACCACCCCATCATTTCGAGATTATTTCCCCCGTGACGACGTGTCAACACCTATATAAAGAGACAGTTAAGCTATGCGCAATTTGTGTGGGTGTGTAAGTTCTTCTCTCTTCCGCGTGTGTCTGTGTGTGTCTGTGTATACGTGAATGCGAGTGATCGTGCATCGGCACGTGTGCGGTGCGATGACGTTTCTGTGAACGTGTCGGTCCGTTGAACCCCATAGCTTCGGCCTTACTCTCTACACGTGTATATCATATTTACAGCCACACCATTTGTTAATTTCTCTCGCGCGCTTCTCGAGGCTGCTGTTCTCCCCCTCCGAGGGGAAGAAACGAAAAGAAGAATGAAAAGTGAATGGGGGCTCGAAGGAGAGCGGAAATTCGCGCTCGCGACAATCTCGCTCCAGCGGATCCTCGAAATGAGTCGCGATTCGCATGAGCGGTTCAATTTCGCGGAACGAGTCCCGTCGCCGAGTTCCTTCGATCACCTCGCGACACCGTTTGCGATTCCTCTCCCGAGTTCACTGTACAACGCGATGTTGCGCGACGTCTAAATTCGCTCGTGTTCGCGACAATCTCGCGACACGAAATAAAAAATGAGAAGATCTCGCGACGATGGTGATGGATAAAGAAAGAGATACCGCGATGATCTATTTACATAATAATAATAATAATAATCGCCCTCCCCGATCAGCAATACACTCATGCATACTCGCTCTTTCACGCACACACTTCCGCAACGCTCTATTATATCTCGTCTCTCTTTTTTCCGCTTTTTTTCTCTCTGTGTGTTTTTTCTCTTACTTATAACGCTACATAGAAATATCTTCGTTCTGGGTCCCGCACAACTTTGTATCTCTCGCAACGACGATGGCTCGTACGACGTGACCGTCCTCGCAACGAGGACCGCTTTCTTCGAATGGGAAAGGCTGTCTCTCCGAGTAAAATGGGAGGATGCGGTTTTCAGTGGCTCACACATCTCGCTCGCTTTTCTCGGGTTACATCGATAAGTGCCACTTGGATTTACTTTGGGGATGTGGGATTTGACGAACGATCTATTAATCTTTAAAATATCAAGCTACGCTTTTTACGAAATTAAAATCGGAAATGAAGGGAGGGTTGATTACAAATTAGGCGTGTATTAGGGAACACGTGTTTCGTCTAATCGTAGTGTTTCGTTAGCGGCAAACAGCGGTGAGTCTCCTTCGCGCATCAATCGTTATCAGTACGCACGCGTATAAATGTATTACGTATTCGCGGTACAATGCGATTTATACAAGTGTTACCACCGAAACATGCCTGACGCTACGTTCTCAGCTATCTAAATTCTACCAGATAGCGGCGGCGGTTGCTAGTGCCAGGTGCGGCCCGTAGCTTGTACATGTTCCTACGTGCGCGGGGACGTGTGTCTAGATGCTGTGAGAGTAAGTCTTCGTACGTGCCGTTTTCTCGTGTTAACGATGCCTCTGGTACGTAACATCCCGAGCGTACGTCTCTATTCTCTGGAGGTAGCGACCGGAGAAACTGCGATGGCCTGATATGCATAAGATTTTTTTTTTCAACTGCAATTCGCCATGCTACGATGCGCCTAGCGGTAACGATTATCATTTAGCGTTCGCGCTTACGAAGATAACAATTATCACCGACAATCATTAATTATTAATACCGCCGTTACGCCCGGTTTATTAGTTATCGCCGCGCTTCTTCTGAGCGTTGTGTTAAATGTTACAACGCATACAACTACGATCGCACGTGGCTTCGATAACGCTGCGCACCACTGATTCCTCGCCTAAGTGTCATTCCTCCCCCCTTTGCCCTCCCCCACCCTGGTTGAAGTCTAAAGGACGGTCGCGGTATAAGTATTTGTCGTATCGGCTTCGCGATCTCCGAGGTGCTGCAAAGCTCTCCCCTAAAGCTCCTATTAATTCGCCATAAAAAATAAACTCCCTATCGGCCGTCGTGTAAACGTGCGCGCGTGTATCTGCGGGAGCGTCTCCGGACCCGTCGCCCTCGATCGGCGCACCATCGCCAGAGTGCGAGAACGCGACGACGTCCGCGAGATACCCGGTCGCGATGCTGGCCTGTGTGTACGTACACATGTGTGGTGTGTATATGTGCGTGCGTGTGCGGGCGGAAGTTTCTCCGCACTCGTGTACGCGTGTACTCCGTGCAATCTAGTTGTCGTCCTCATCTCGCTTCCCTAAATCTGTATACCCGACATTACACACGCACGTGTATGTGTGTTATACATTATATTTATATATATGCAAGCTCTCTATGGCTCCCCTCGAATCACCTCGAATGCCTTCGCGGATATACGCTTACTACTACGCTAATTGCAGAGCTCACTCACTCTCCGACACGCACACAACTTGATTCGCTCGCGAGATCCCACCGGCGGGCTCCTTCACCTCTTTGCTCGAGCAAGCGAGTTGATTAAACTTAGCACGATAATCGCCATCTTGTATATACAGACAATCTTGCTCCTCGAACTCTTCCGATTCTTTCGCTTTCTTCGTCCCATCCTCATCTTCCCCCGAGCTCCCTTCCCATTGATCTCGTGCGAATGTTGCCCACGTGCTGGTATACACTGCCTCCTAAGGATTTCCGCGACAGGATCGACGCGTCCCGCTGTCGTCCCTGTCTCTTGACAGACTCGCGACACCCTCCCTCCTTCATCGGACTCATTGCGTTAACATACATAACATCATATCGACATAGGTAAGCGTAGTCCACTACAGCTGTGGTATTGGTATAGCACTCTGCGCAATTTATCGCGAAATTCAGTCGTTTACATTGTGAAGAGAATATCCGTTCGCCCTATGGCCGCTTCCCGGCACAACTCCCCGTGTTTCTCTAGGGGTTGCTTTCCCAACGGGCGAACTGGATACGCCTGGTGTCCAGGGAGGGTGAGAGCAGCGACTTGAGGGACGCGCTTGGCGGCGAGCCGCCGAAGTACTTGAGCGTCAACGGCGACTGCAGATGCCTGTGTCGGATCACCTCTCGCTCAGCAGGCAGTGGCCAGAGTTCCTAACGGACAGTCGGGGGACTGATCTGATTATAATCCAAAATATCCAACCACTCGGTTAAAACTTCCTGTCCCCCAACAATTTCATTTATTCTTATGTAATAATCACGAGAAAACTATTTGTATTTCTATATTTTTATCTTAAATTTCTGATAAAATGATTAACTGATGATAAAACTTTTTAACGTTGGGGATGATAGCTTGGATAATCCTAAAGTAATTTACCTGCAGCGAGAGAGCCTCGTCTCAGGACTCGCCCTGCTTGTTCCTGCGGCCAGTCAAAGATCCAACTAAAGATTTCAGAGTCGCGCCTAAACCCCTGCCGCTCGGGGTATTGAGACTGCTGGCGTTTCTGAAGCCCTGTGGATGTGCGTCCAAGCATTTCTGATACCTCAGCTTAAACAGAAGCAGAAACATCTCCTTCATTTAACGTCTCAGTTTAGTTGAGCGGATTCGGTCCTCGAGAGAGGATCCTCACCTTGCAAGCGGCTTCAATCGTCTTGCAGAGGGCTCCGCTGCTGGGCTCGCAGTTGAAGACGTGTGCGATAAACAAGTCCTGTGCGGTGTGCATGATGAAAGCGCATTGCTTCACGTTGTGTCCAATACCGAGGAATGACAAGTAGCGTACTCGACACTCGGTGATAAGTTTGTCGTCCTGAAAAGATTACGATTGTTACGAATACGTAGATTGCACGGCCACTAATTTGTCGGTACTTAGGTCTCTCTTCGTTTACTCACGTTCGGCGTAAGAATGGAAATCATGCTCGGAGCTACGGCGACGTTGACGTTTCGCCATTGATTGATCGGCGTGTTCGTCACGATATGTTCTATCGCCTCGTTCAGTACTTCCATGCCGGTCGCCTGGTTAACTTGCATGGATCCGAGGTACTGCGCCCGCAACACCTTCTTCGGTTCCTCCATCGGTGTTGGGAAAGATTGTGCTGTGCAAAAATATAACGTGACGATTACTTAACTTCTTAAGTTCTGTTATTTTCAAGCAGTTATTTATTAGAATCTGAGTTTTACTACGTTTAATTAAGTATTTCATTTTTTTGAAGAGGTACCAAAAAGATTTCAATTAATTTGAGGCTACTTACTGACTAGTGCCTGACCGTTTCTGTGGAAGCGCCGATGTTCAGTGGGCAGATTCGTAGGTCTCGTAGCGAGGCTTGTCCGGCCATTGATGTCCACCGGTTTCGCGAGATTCTGATGCTGGGAACGCTCGATCATTATCTTCTTGCAAATGTCGCGAAGCGTATTTGCGATCGTGCGCGCCGGTATGTCGCAACGAAACACGTGGCACATGTGTTTCCTGGTCGATCGGTCTCTTGCTACGTAAGCGAAGTCCCTGAAAGTAATACGCACTTTAAAGTCGATTGTATGTTTCAGGCCGAGAATTTTCGCTCTAATTTCACCTTATTCTAGGCGGTAATTTACATTGTCGTGCAGCTTACCTTTCGCTGTTAGATCCGTCCAAAGAATAGCAGACATTCATGAAAATAATATGAATATATTAGTAGAATAAACATGTGTGCCGTGTAAATAACATGAAATATTTAACGTTTATTATATAAAGATGGTGAAATTCGAGATTTTACAGATTGTGCACTTTGACAAGGACGTCATTTTGTGTCGATTAACTTTTAACGTAATTAACCCACCGACAATGGTCTCTTCCTACGCCCCATACTCTAACTGTATGAATAGGCTGCGTGTTAAGCACGGTGAGATTCTCCGGATCGATCAGCTTGAGCGCGCCCTCGTCCAGGTCCATAAATAGATCCTTACCCTGAAATATTTCGTAACATACGTCTCATCGCGTGTTTGCTGCGCAGCAAAATCAAAATCGGTATACCTCGCGGGGTATTTGAGGGATTAAAAGTCCTACAAATAGTCTTTTACAGCTCGTGTCGTTCATCTTATCATTTCTTAAGTACACCGAGTCGCCATTTCTCCGTTGCCCATACATTTTTAAATTCACGATTAATAATGCAGATTTAACCTACTTAGTTTCCGAGGAAACTTACATCGCCCCATCGTCCAACGACGTCCAAGAGATCGTTTCTACCGAGTGAGAGATCCACGATGCACTTGTTGACAGCTTTGCTGCTTCTCTCGGGTGTCAGATCCTCTTCCGCGATCTCCGTCCAACCCAAGGATCGCACGGCGAATCTGATCGGCTTGTCCCTGCCCTCGGAGTCCGCTCTAGCAGGATAGCTTCTTCGTCTGCGCAAAAGTATTATGACAAAGATGTATCGGCGACCAATCGTTGCAAGAAAAAAAGACTGAACTAATCGGAGGGCACGCTTGCTTACTTGAGCGCCAATTCCACCTTCCTCTTGTTCTCCAATTCCTGGTCCAGGGCGGAACTTGTGTTGCTGCGAGTTACTGTGTTCACCATACCGCTCAAAGTGTGAAAATTATTTATCTATAACATTATAAGCGAAAATTTACGATATGAAACAGAAGACTGCGAGCTTAATATACGTGATATCGTACTATGTAATAATCTTGATATACACATACGTGTTTTTACCAATAATTTATTTCGCGCTCAATAAAAAAAAACATATGTGTTTGTAAGATGTTTAAGCAGATTATTCTACTCACGCTATCATTATCCTTGACGAGGCTTCGACGCGCCTCCGTTTTCGTATGCAGAGGAGCCTCCGGCGGTTCTCTCTGTATGTTTCCGCTTTTTACATGCCAATAATAAGGTCCATTCTCATCTAAAATAGCATTCGATTCGATCGTCAATAAAATTTCAAAGCTATAATTTATGATAGCCGCGATAATTAACTGCCGATTATAATCAATTTCATCAATTCCGCTTTCAATCCGTACCGTTTTATTAATAAAAGAAGATATGAAAAATTGAGGGAACGTCGATATCTGCTAAATGTATTTTTACCTCAACACAGTTTTATATTGTTATCTCAAATTTTTTAGCGATTTCTTTCCCACCGAGTATTATCTTTAAATCCCTTTCACATTCCCGGAAACAACGGTTTGATACGAAAATCGCACTCGCTATCACGGACTGATAATCGCACGGCCGCGTTTAACGTTAAACACGAGCCTTTTCCGATGCACCGGTATCGATCGGCATGCTCGTGTCCTCGGAACCTCCGGGAAAACGCTGGACTTTCGAGAGTAATGTTTTAGAATCTAGAAAGTTTTCATTTGCGCGCCAACACTCTCGCCACTTCGTTTTTATCCCGATATAATTAATACAGATCTGACGCAATTTCTCAAGAGAGTCCAGGGGGTTTCTGGCGCGCTGAAAAAAAGTTTTTCTCTTGCGGCGAAAATAAGACCGAGGGTAGCCGTCCTGATGATTCGAAACGAGCTTCCTTTTTGCTACTTGGTGCAGCTCCGTCCTTGATATCTACCTTCGTGCTTCTGCCAGCCCGGTGGCAGATTCTCATCCTTGTCCTCGGAATCGGTGCTGTCCACGTCCGCCGGTTTCTCCTGGGTATTGTTCTGCAGAATCGCATTGTTCTTCTGGTCCTTCGGCTGTCGCCGTTTCACCGGCACCGCGTACAGCTCGCTGTTCAGGCCACCCTCCACATGCGGCACGCCGCCCATCTCTGCGGTCTCGTTGTCGGGTTTCTCGCAATAACTGTGGAAAGTCAAGAAAGACCAGGATCAAGAAACAGCGCCGCGGTTCAGCCCGGGGGTTCAGTCGCGTTAGCGCCGCGATGTTCACTGAATACTGAAGCGATACAAAAGTCCAGGCTCTTGGTTCTAAAAACGTCTCTAAGGGAAGCCTCGAGAACGCGCGGTGGGTATTTTTTTCGAGAGTCTGCGTCGTCTGGCTCTCTCTTCAAACGGGCATGTTCATGATGTTTTTTTTTTCATTATCGTAATCACAAGCAATAAGAAATGCATATTCTCCTTGAATTCACGAACGTATGTACATTTGTACAAATTAAATTTCAATCTTCTGCGCTTGTCACGTGCATTTGTGGTGCAAACGGAAAAGAAAAGTCAAGGCTGGCATTAATGAAACTTGATAAAACTGATGGTAAGAATTGCAGCGGAAGTAGAGTCGCAGCTCTTGCTGGCTCAACGGGGGAACTAGCGGCTAATATACAGCGCAAGCCACAAATTCCATCACAGCAATATGCAGAGTGAAAGAAACATTTTCATTTTTTATCGGCCGCTTTGCGTCTAAAAATTTCATTTAACGACGATTACTTTCCCGGCCCGACTGCGTTTGATTTGTTTAAATTCGTCACGAGGCGGTCACGCGACAGTGTTATCCACTGAAATTCTCCCCGCTCTTTTTCTCTCTCCCTTTCCCTCTTTCTCGTCTCCTATTATATCGCGAAACTCGCCATGAGAACGCGATTGTGGTCGCGCTCGCGTGACTCCGGGGTATTCGAGTTCACGACATTTCATGGCGAATCACGATCGCCGAAATAAGCGGCTTGATTTATCGCGTCGTTGTCCGACCGTGTTCCGTCTCGCGGACCCGAGTCGCTCGGCCGTTTCGCCGAGCACTCGCGGAGGATCGCGTCAACGACCACGACGGAATGACAAATTGATTTCCGCTCGTTAGATCGTCTGATCGGCCGTGTCGTCCCGCTCGTAAACCGCCATCGATCCGCCGCAACGGACTTCCCCGTTATCGCTCCGCCACGAGAAATCCTCGCGTGCTAATCAAAGCCGGCCGGCGGGAGATTATTTACGGCGGCTGTAAAATAAAACGTCCTTCGCGAGAGAGGGCGAGGAGAAATTACGCTTTCGTACTTGGAAACGATGTAGAATTATGTACCGCACGCTCGTGAGGGTCTCCATACAAAATCGTGATGGCTGGAGATAAATCGCGATCAAGGGGGATCGTAACAGGTGTCCGCCGAGTGCTCGTTCTATCACGAGTGACGACAGTTCGTATTCTCAGTCGGGACACGTTTTGTAAAGTAATCTTTCAATTAAAAAAAGAATTTTAACCGACGAGCGCGAATAAACGACTCGCGTTGTAAAGCCAACGGCACACGATGCTACTTTTCCTACTGGATTGGCGCCGTTGAAACCGAGGGGTGAACCGCCGAGGGCACAGTTGTCGTGTACAGATTTGCGGTATTACTGGGCATTACTTGGCTTCTTTTGGGCATTAGGCCTTGCTGGAGCATTTAAACATAAAATAAGATAAAGTAATGCCCACTGGGCATTAGCGGGCATTGGTGTACATGATTTTGGTCAGCGGTTTACCCCTCGGTTGAGACTCGGGCAAGTTGCAAGTACTGTGTTTGTTCGCGCTCGTTCGCTTCGCCTACGCCCGGCTTTACGCAATAACGTGGTCGCGGCAGAGTCCAATGGTCCCTCGTCACTCTCGGAACTGTTCATCGTAGTCCATTTATCACGTATCGCAGCAACTTCGGCGCGTGATCGTTAGCGCGATAACGATTTCGCACCGAGAACAAATGCGATACGCGAGGCAAGCCTGGCACCAGCCAACACTCGCGTTTTCCGTCCGTTCATTCGCGTTCACCGCGAACAGGCTTGCTGCGCATGTTCTTTTTTTTCAAAAAGGTGCGCGCAGAAGGAAGCATTTTTATCCTGGGGAAAAATGTGTTTCGCTTTGTAACACGAGGATCCGAGACAAATTCGATTGCGGAGCACGAAATTCTATTTCACGTTCCGACACGCGGACATCGCGTCTCGGATCGACGCACGGAAGCCAAGAGGGATCTGATGTATATGATGGTAACATTCGCGGAGAATTGTGCTTCGAGACACGCATTCTCTTGCGCCCACGTAAAATACGTCGCGGGGACAAATCGCGCGTTTCGGAAATAAATCCAGACCCGTTCCCGCGGAGCACGAGAAGGGCTCGAAATTTCACGGTGACACGCGACGCAACGTCGTTTCAATCGAAGCGAGCAAGGCACGGTGTCTCTCGGACGCGGAGTGCGAATCCCCCTCGGTTTAACGCCCGCGATTCGTCCGTTTGCGCGCCCTGTGTACTTGGTATCCACCGCGCAGCATCCAGCGGCAACGCGGAATGCACGTTTACAAACAGCGGGGCGGTAATCTGCATAGGATCGCTCGCGCGAGAACGAGGGGCGTTGCGTTTCGATGAGGACGTTGCAGCGAAAACAAACAGAAGCAACAATTCGGGCACACACAAGAGAAGCGATGGGACGGTGTCGCGGCAAGCGGATCATGATCTGCAGGGCGGGGGAGGGAGGGAGAATAGGGTACCACGAGGCCACGAGGGTGTGTGTTCGTACGTACTTTCTCGACCCGGAAGTGTCCGCAGCGTCGATCGATCCCGCGGATTCCGACTGAAGGGCGTGAGACTGAGGCAGGATCGCGCTCGACGACGACGTGGACGACGAGCGGGGATTCCCGTTGAGGGTGTCGTCGACGAGAGCGGACTCCGCCACACCCTCGCAGCCGTACCTGAATCAGCATCGTTCATGCAACGTTCATTACAAGGGGAATGAATCGCAATGGTGATAATGACAGTGCCTGTCGCGATTGTACGGGCTCGCTTATTAACCCTTAAACGACGCGAGTCCCTTCGTCGTCGCTCGCGCGAATCACTTTCACGTCACGCCGTCTCGTCGCAAAGAGATTCGGGCATTTAAGGGTTACGCCGAGCTTCTAATCAATTTCAATTACCAAACTTCATTACATTTCTATTGGTATTTATCTTCTAATAAGTAAACAGTATATTGCCGGTCTTAAGTAATTAAGCACGCTCGGTTTTACTCAGGGTTGGCTGGGGAAATCCAGGGGGTGGAAAATACCATGGTAAATGCCAGTTTTTACCGTCCCGGACTTTATCCGATGGAATAAATTGGCAAAAATTATAAAAATAACTAATAATTAAAGGATACTTATATAAATATTAGTCATTTTTGTAGTCTTTATGAAAAAAGATGTTTGCGTTAAATACTAAGTCGGTTTTTACCACTGGCATGGACTTTATCCAAAAGATGTGAAATTTTGCCAACCCTGGTTTTACTATTTCGGATACACCTTAGTTTTAATATGCACTTTCACCTGACGCACTTGTGAACTGCGTAGCATAACACTCGAGCGCGATATCCGCCAAGTCGACGCAAAGCGCTATTAAAATAAAATATATAGTTAAATATTTTCTATTCGTCTACTGCGGGATGTGCTCTTGCCGCGAGCGCACGCACTCGTACTCCGCGGACGGGGACCGCGCGGCTGCGAGGAAGAGGCATTTTAATTAACGATCGGGGAACAGTGCCAGGCACCGACGTGGTTAGTACAGGGTCGCTAACCATGTCGAAGTAATTAAGGGATTAGTCGAGCGGTTTGCTGACTAACGCCAGCTGCCTCTCTTGAGTATCGTTCGGGCGCTAGAGGTATCTAAGGGCCGCGTTCCCTTTGAGCGTACTCAAGGAATTCTGGACTTCGAGGCCTTTAATCGGCGGGATTATAACCGGCTACGTTAAGTCTGTAAGCGGAAACTTTTCCTCGACTTGACTCACTTCGCCCGGAAGATGTTAAAAGTTTCGGCGAACAGAAATAAAGGTGTTTGCGCAAGGACAACGGCGTCATTGTTTCCCTTCGAGTGTCAAGCTTGGTGGAAGCACACGATTATTTTATTTTACGTCGGTCGAGATGTCGTGATTTTATCGAGGCTACCGACGCGGAATTATTCCACGTGTAAGTGGAAAACAAAGGAATATATACCGATAATAAATGGCAGAAAAGTTTCGATCGTTCCTGCGGAAATTTTATGCTTAATGAAATTATTAAAGTGCATCCTCCCGTTTAGTTGGTCTGAAATTTTATCCCGCAGGTGCAGCTGCGACTGCGTGACACTTATTGCTCTTCCCCTTTCGTTTAACCCTTCTGCTACCCTCCCGGCTGCAGTGCAGGGGTCGTTTCCGCATTATCGACGATCGGACTCGTTGTCAATTCCCTTTAGTGAAGATTGCACGGTTGTTAACGAGAGTGTTTGAGTGTCTGCTATGCTATTGCGTCACATCTATTACATAATCCTTGCTAGGAATCGGGCGGACGCATCGATACACACTCGGTATTCCCGACTTTGTTAATTGGCCGATAATCATCGCGATAATTTCTCGTACGTGCCGCTAATTGGCGAACCCGCTCCTCGTCCCTTCCAACGGGAGAAAACTACGAGCCGCGCGTGCAACGTGCTCGGAAAGAAATTTTCAAACTTTTCTCCGCGTGTTGCAACGTCAAGAAGATATCGTGTTCGAGAAAGGCTTCCCGTAAAAAAATCGATCGAAACTAAGCAGCCTCGCTTTTAAAAATAAGGCGCCAGCGGCCAGATTAAAAAATTATTTAAAAACAGTCAACGAGTGGAACTATTGTTACATTTCATCGGGAACCACAGAACTCTCCTAGAACTGTAAAATTCGTTAATTGAAACGACTTCTTTCGCAACTCGCCGCGGCAAGTTGGCGCCTCATATTTTCAAACATTTTGTATTCAAATCAACGGAACTATTTCTAAAACCTATAAGGAGCTGTAGGATTATTGCGGGTGCGAACGGAATTGTTAATGAACTCTCTACAAGTCAATCAGTGGATTGTCACTAAAAGCAGAGAGTATTCAATGATTCAGTGCTATACTCGTAACTGTTTTCGCACTGAGAAAAATTTCCATCGGATAAACCAATTAAACAGCGTTTCCGACGGTTAATTTTCCCGATTACGTTTCCCGATTAAACGATGGACACATCCGTAGAAATTTATCTGATGAAATGCAGTTACCGATGAAATTTTATTGAAAAACAATCATATTTTTCATCCGGATATACAATTTAATTGGATATATCCGTTCGTTATTATGTCATTGGATTATCCGATCATATTTAATCGGACGTTTGTCTCAGTGCAGTGACAATGCGCGGATTAACTTTTAGAAAGAAACTTTCCATTTTCGGAAATGAGATGTCAACTTTGCAGTGGCGACAGCGACGACGACGACGAGCCGCGAAGCCAAACGACATAATTTCGCGCAAATGGGTTAAGGGACGGCACGACGGATGCCTTGGAATTCCGCCAAAGTTTCGGGGGGAGTATCCTAGTGTTTTGTATCAGGGGCGCGAGAGGACGATCGATGGGATATCGGACGTGTCTGTGGGAATTCCGCAGTCGATCGTCGATTAACACCCGGGGAATTTTTCCGGCGTCGTCGCGTCCTCCCCGGAATACGTCGCGCCGGGTCGCCGACGATCGGACGCAACGACCTATCGAATTACAAATAATATAAGCGTGACGCGCTCGGCTATTAAACACGTTATTAATTAATTCCGGTAATATCGTATCCCGGCCGGGCTGGGATCGAGCGGACCGACGAGCGTTTTATCGGAAATGAAATCGCGATATTGACGCATTGACGTAATTCGTTTTGCAGGAACGTTAACTCGGTTTCTCGCGATAACGCTATAGTCGGGGATCGTTATTAATACCGTTAATCCCGGGATTGGCGGTATTGCGACAGCAGTATCTGGAATATCGGGTTATTGACACCGAGCGCGCCATCGATCGATCGACGTGCTCCGTATGGCATTACAAGATCGACGATCGTCTGGATGGACGACGACGCGGTCAATTTGAGCGGCCGAGATACTCGGAGATTCGTCTCGGATGGTCGCGAATCAATGACAATGCGATAACGGGAACGCGACGCCTACGTCGTAAGACGAAACGCGAAAGAGGTCCGTAACCGCGTAGGAAAAAAAAAGGGTATCGGAGAAATTGAACCTTTGAGGACTCTTTAGTTATTCGCGCACGCGCATTTTGGTAAATTCACGGTGTACCGCGCTAGCTGGGCGAGGAGTAAAGATAAGCTGATCGCGATGCAGCTTAAATCAGCTGCCGCGGGACGGTAATTGTAATCCAGCCGGCGCGTACACGCGCGCATCGCCGTAACTTTCAGTCAGGTGTAATTAAACCCAATTAGGTCGTAAGGTGAGCAACTTCTGACGCACCTGGCTGGGCCGTAAATTACGCCGGCAAGTCTCCCCCTTTTCCGCTCGTGTCTATCTCGCTGGCACCATGATTACAGTATTCGTAATTTTATGGTTTCTGCTCGAGAACGCGGATCGTTATCTTTTGATTACATTACTATCGTCATAAATCGCGACCCTTTTCAGGGAAGCGCGAATTAAATCGTCAGGTAAGGCACGAGACAAAGAAATCGCTTCCGTAATTATAAAGCGCGGAAGGATATTGCGAAGTCAAACAAAAGTCACGAAAAGAGAAGCTCACGGCCGAACGCTGTAATAATGGCTCGTCTTTCGAGAGAGTTTGTCCTTTGCATCCCAGGCCGCATCGATCCTTCACGCGTCCTGCATTCTGTCAGTGTATCCACGTAGCAACGATCGGCTTTCCCCCATTAACGGAATCCGACAAACGCTTCGCCACGTGATGAGAGAGAAAGAGAGAGAGAGAGAGAGAGGGGGGGGGGAGAAAGCGCGAGAAGAGGAAAGGCAAACGCAGAGGTTGCAGAGTGTCGAGAAGGTCGGTATCGGCCCTCCTGGGCGTTTGTAATTCGCTGTCGGTGTTTGTCGATCGGCAGAAACAACGGCCGATCGACCGTGACGTGGGCATCAGCGAGGGGTGATTTGCGCGAAGGGAGTTAAAAGGGAAAGGGGCAGAGAGGAAAAAAAAGCGAGAAAGTCCGGAGAGAGGAAAAAGTGGCGCACGGCCGAAACACCGTGTAGGTAGATGGACGTCCACGCGGAGCGCGGTGCAAAGTGAAAGAGAAAGAGAGAGAGAGTGAGGGAGGGGGGGGGAGAGAGAGAGAGAGAGAGAGAGAGAGAGAGAGAGAGAGAGAGAGAGAGAGAGAGAGAGAGAGAGTCGGGCTGCTCCTCTCCTCGCTCGATCAATACACACTACCAGCAACCACCCAACCCACCCTCCACGTCTCTACTCCACGGCACAACCCTCGACCACTGTGCGGCGCTCACCCGCCAACGTCACCCCATTTCGAGCGCACAGCTACCACCGCATTCGCACACACACGCACACGCACACAGGCATACATGAATGTGTCGCACGCGCATACATGCCGTACACACCGAGGGCGATACGGATCGCCATGGTATCGACAAAGCCGCCGTCATTTTCGTCGTCTTCTCGGGCTGATTGGCCGAGATCGACTTTGTCGACGCGATTGACGAGCAATCGGCGAGCGTATTACGCGCGGAGGATCATCTCCGAGGATTGCGAGTTCCGACGAGAGCCCACCGGCCGAGCGGACAGGCCGGTGTCAGAGTTAATACCGGCATCGAGTTCGTTTTCCCCCGCGATAGGAATCGCGACAATGCGTGATATTACGGGGTTTGGTTTCTTACTGCTGCCTGGAACACGTAGGCTCGCTAGTTAGGCCCTGCCGAAGCTAGGGGGTATTCCCTGCGGCCCTTTCACCCTTCGAGTGGCTGC